ATGCTCTCCCAGACAAGTTGACCACAGACCCCTCGGTGGAAAGAATTAGGAAGAGACTTGATAGCACCTACTCATATGCGGATTACAATACCCCTCTTTTGGAAGGAAAGTTCATCCTATAGATAAAATTTTTACAACTGACATGTTTTCGTTTTCCAAAACTTTAAACTGAAAAGCATTTCTTTCCTTAAACTCTAGATGGGAATTCTCGATGGTGAATACTCTTACTTCTCACAGCCCTTCCATATAATATTCTTTGTTTAAATTCCTGCTGTGCCCTTGACATCAGAAAGCGGTAACCCTGATGGCGACGCCTGCTGATATTCTGTCAACCTTCAAAAAGGATCTAGAAAATCTTAAAGACAATGATAAGTACAAAATCAATGCACTGACCATCTATGCAAGAGATAATAAAGACATTGTCGGGGTTGCTCAAAGTATTGTCGATATTACTATCAAGCATGTTCAAATGGTGAGTTATTTCGTATCTAATTCCTTTTTGTGTCCTGTGCATACATGTACAGATGAAAAAAGACCAATAAATGTTTTTTTCAGTTTCGAATTTTTTGAATCTTATGGGTGCTGGGTTAGGCCGAAGCGATATCAATTGCTTAGGTGCTTAATCTAGCCTTCGTATTTGCGTACATACTTAGCACTTCGTACGTACATACATCAGTTCAAGTTGCCATACCGAAGTAGCACAAAGACTCAGTTTTCAATTGAGATCCTATAGTAGTTGAGGTAGTAAAAGTATCAGCAGTAATCGATGTTACTAGGGTTCGAAGATATTCACGAAGTACGATCTGATAAAATGAACAAATAGATATGACGAAAGATCCAGAGGATTAGGATTTGAGATAGGTTGAGGATGGATGCCCTCACAACACTTTAAACGGTTTAGAGCCACACTACTGAAGGTCTCTAACCCGACCGTAGCTGCTACCTTGACGTGGTGGTCGGGCTTGCCTATTGTGATGACCCGATAGAGCTATATTGGAGAGAACATGATTTTGACTTAGGTTCTACCATGCCAGGCAGTTTTATTGGAGAACGGTGAAACTAAAAGCAACAATTGAAGGTCTGAGGCCGAAGTCGTGCTGCTGACTGCAGAGGGGTGTGACAGCAGTAAGGTATTTGCCCCGGACAATCATTTCCTGCACTTTACAAATTCCCCACAAAAGGGCCTCATGTAACTGGTCTCAAGCAGCTGTTCCTTGGGCTCTGCGATCACGCTCCTAGGTCGCTCAGACTAATGCTTAGCTGATTTCCCTTTCAGGTCCCTCAAGAAGTATGCTTCCACAAATTGGACAGACTGTTTCCCAGTAGACAGTCACTTGTGTGGTGTCCGACAAAACGAGACAGTTAAGGACTCGGAAAGATAGGGAAACGTTCCTGCCTCCTTGTTGTCTCTGCCTACGCTCCCAGTGACTGCAGATCGGACGAGGTTAAGTTGCTAGTTCCACTGTAGGACTTATTACTATACATACACTGACGAGGCCTTGGGAAGCTGCAGCAGAGCCTACAGGTACACTCGGCGTAACCAAAATATGTTCTTTGTCTGGACAGGACGAAGTCAAACTAATGGTCCTACTTGGATACTGTATATGCGTTTCGGGGACGCAGCATACATCGATTTGCACGGGATTCCAGTCTTAGCTAAGGAAGCTTGTTGCCCTACTTGACACAAGGTTAGAACATTAAAAGCTCTCACGTGTAGTTTAGAGTATGGTTTCAGGAGACCAGGAATGACATAACTTGAATCGTTTGCATTAGTGGCGCTTGGTGACAAAGGAACGAAAGAAGGGTTGGTCATGGAGGTAAGAGAGTTACTAGGTCAGCGGTACGACTTGTACTCGGACCGTTCTCCAATCAACCTGCCTGGTATGTTAGAACCTAAGGGAACATAAGTTCCCTTGAATATAGCTCGGTTGGGTCATCACAATAGGCAAGCCCGACCACCACGTCAAGGTAGCAGCTACGGTCGGGAGCCTTCGTATGCGACATATCCATTGCTAATCGTGTAGAGTTTTATGAGATGCACACTGATTAGGTGTCGCTGTAGGTTTAATGACAAATGCGTTGTTTTTGGAATACGGTTATCAAATTTTTCATTACAGATACCGGCAGGACTGAAGCTACTTGGTTTGTACGTAATCGACTCGATAGTTAAAAATGTAGGCACACCCTACAGAAAGTTGTATACTTTGGATATTGTTGATGCTTTTGTGCATTCCTTTCAATCGGTAAGTTTCTGCGCGGAAATTGTCTTAATACTCTATTTAGATACGCGATGAGAAGGGGCGGCTGAAACTATACAATCTAAGAACTACGTGGAAAGACATATTTCCTAATTCTAGGATGTACGAACTTGATATTCGAGTGCGTGAGCATGATCCAGCTTGGCCTCTCTTAGCCAGCCCTCCTGAAGCAAAAGCTGCGTTTAGATCCTTACCAAATGTCCCAAAAATACAAACTAAAGTGGAACCTGTAGTAGTCGATGTTAAGCAAGAAGCGAAGGAGGCTTCGCTGACAACTAAGACCGTTATCTCAGCTTCACGTGACCCGCGGCTCAATAGAAAACGAAAGTCACCTCAAGAACCCCTTTCTTCTTCTGATGAGTATCTTATCGACCGTTCAGGCGATCAAAACATGGAATCAGTTGCTCGTAAACAAGGTAAACAGGCAGATGCCAGTGAGTCGTCTAAGAAGGTCATGTTGTTTGGGGGTGAGGACTGTGATATGCGTTCACAAAATGCAGTACCCGCTTCTCCTGCTAGATCATCAGGTTGGTCAGATTACATTGGAAAGCACAGCGAAATTTGCTCTCGACGTGAAGCCAAAGACATAGATATGCGTTTTGCTCCGTCAGATCCTCCACTTGCCTGCTCTCCTAGCTTTGGTGTCTCTGAGAAGGTATCGAAACCACCATTAGATGTACTAGTCACTAACAAACTGAATTCTGTACCAACGATTCCTCCTGCACCGAGGTACGATACGTCAGATGAACGCCTTCCACCGACTGAATTACAATCTGGGAAAATTTTTGGTAACTCCAATCCAGATACGAAATTACGCCCCGATGTTTTGAAATCTGAAAACATCCCACCCCGATACTCCAAATTGGATAATTTTGTCCCAATGAAGGAACATCATCTGCCACCTCGCATTACCGATTTCGCCAGAGATAGACCACAATTACCTTCATCTTTTCAGCCAACTACGGTCCCACCCATTCGTGGGCCACCGATTCGTGGTCCCGTGTGGAGTGTTGAGATCAATGGATTTCCAGACATGGTTAATATAGGTGTCGATCCTCGAATGCTAAGTCTTGTAACTCATCCCAAGCCACCGAGACGAATAACCATTGATGGTCAACAGTTTACACTATTATTAGATAGAGTTCAACCATTGATAGCAATAGGAGACCGCATACATGCTGTACGATTCCGTTGTGAGTTTGCCACTATTGTCATTGATGGTCGCTGTTTTAACATTCCTGGCACAGGTTTTACCAGGGTTTCTATTGGACCCAGATTCTATGTCGCATACCTAGGTGGTCCTGGTCATGAACTGGTTATCGACGGCCGTCCACACACTGTCCCTACAACGTCTCATCTAACCTTCATAAATGTTGGTCTTCATTCAGTAGGCGTAAAATTTGTTGGAAACGTGCCAAGAAATGTCAATGTCTTACCACCTATCCCTCCCCGTCTACTCAAATGGGCAGGTCAAGGTTTATTTGGTTCACCTAAGAACCTGTTTATGGCACCACTCAACCCGATTAAGGAGCTCGCACGTCTCGTTGAACACGGATACAATTCAAGAAATAATTTTGTAAACAGACCTGTAGGCAATGGAAAGCGACCATCACCTATGCGTCTTACAGATGCTTCAAATAGTAATAACCGTAGTAATGGTCAGAGGTTGGTAGAGCCTGTTGACGAGGACGCTGCTAACAAAAGCGAAAAACCCATAACGACAAACAAAGATGAAAGCTCCTCAAACGCAATTACTCCGCTCAATATAGATGTACATGAGTTATTCAAGAAGTTAGTTAAGGCTGGTATAGTGCCGAGCACAGAACATGAAAAAAAACCAGAACCTCCTGAACTAGAAAACTACAGCTGGGAGCGTTTTAAGAATCCTTACGGTGTTGAGATTGATGAACTATATAGTGGTCACCAATGTGGTCAGTGTGGTTTAAGGTTTCAAAGTGACCTCTCACCGGAGTTTGCAAAGCACCTTGATTACCATTATATGAAAAATTCGAGTTATAGCCAAGAACGACGCAGTCGTAATTTCTATCAATCGCTTCAATACTGGCTAATTAGTGAAATGACACGAGAGGGTGCCCCTCAATTTGAGCCTGGAAGTCCGATCCACGACTTGCAAGAGTACAAATGCACGGCATTCGCAGATCCATCTAAAAATGTAAGTTACTTTCAGTTGTCACTGTTGTTTTCGCTTTTTTTAAACAGGTAACTGAACCCGTAATCTTTCTGCCTTTACGAGATGCCACTAAATACCACGGACTCGAAAAAGTAGTAACCACTTAGCTAGGTGTTTGAGGATGCGTTAGAAAGCAATAAAATGGTGTCCGGATTTAGGAACCAAGAAGAATGACTCGAACGACATTAGTTGATCGTTAGATATGCATTTGTACAACAATCGTGTAAGGTGCTGTACTAGGATCCCACTGCTTTTTAGCTTGTACACTGAAATCTTACTTCCTCTAACAGTACGAGAAGTGCACTATGAGTGAAGTGAAGATCTTCGTCACAGTGGGGATCCCAGCTTTTTACTGTGATGGTGATATCCCGTAAATATCAACAAGTTATCTGTGGATTTTCTTCGTACTCAAAACTTCTAGTGCTACTTCCCAGATTATTGTAAACTTGATAGAATTCATGTGATCTTAGAGTAGTTCTGTCGAAACCTCTGAATAATTACCATAGTCTTCACAAAACGATTACTTTCTGCTCTACATTCTTATTTCTTGAGGACTTCGTGTTGTATCGGAAACAACTGATTTCGTTTATTTTACTGTTCTTATGATTGTCGTAACACAGTTCTGAATAAATGTTTCTGAGAAGCGATATCAGGAAACTATTTTGTCATTAAGACTATCGCTTTCCAATGGGGCAAAATGGTTTATGATTCATTTAGACTTTAATTCTAGGTATTTCCTAAGGGTATTCTATAATATCCTTCGAAATACGATTAATCCATAGACAAACGATAATCCAAAGTCTGTCGTGCTAAAAGATATCAAAAACTAACAAGTGTTCAAGTGTCGGTTGCACAACACAGTTCCTACATGCAGGTAATGCGGTACACATGTAGTTTATATGTTACCATTAAGATATTTCGTTTTATTGGATTGGCCTCACTTTCTCTTAAGTATTGTAAATTGCGATACTTTGAGTTTTAATTCATGAAAGTTTGTTGGTTCTCAATTTCGATGTATTTATGTTCCTTGAATCTAACAAGAAACTACGCAGTTATAGCTAAGTCCGCTTTTGCAAGGGAGTGTTCATTAACATGGCAAGTTGTGTGATCAACAAATTTACCTGCGATTAAACTGACATTAATTGATTCATTGGTTCATGTATATATAGAATAGTTAGCTATTACTGCTGTGAAGTCCGTGATAGGAGTAAACAATTTCTGTTAAATTTTAAGTTTCTCTTAGAAATGTTACCGTCAACCAAACATGTATCTTTTTTCGTTTTATTATCTCCCCTTCAAAACAAAACTAGTTGCATTTAGTTAATAAATAATGAATGCGAATGGGAGTGATTTCGGTTTCTTTCTTGTGTGCGTGCATCTGACAAATCTCGTTTTAGAAAACTCATTTTTGCGAAGATTCATAGTTTTATGGGAGAAAGATGATATGATCCATTAGGTCACCAAGAAATTATCTCACCTGTTGTATTTGCTTTAAAAAACTACTCAGACAAATGGTCAAGAAGATCATTGTTCCATTCAGTGTAATCCTTCTCTTCCGTATTTCGCAAATTCCATTTAAGGGAACAGCAAAAGTACTCAATGATGTTTAGTATATCAGCCATTTGTGTATTCAAATTAGTAGACATGGTTGATAAGCCTAATAATATTATATTGTGTAGTCTAGTGGTTATATATGTTTGCTTCTCATGATTCAGAAGTTAAAAGTGTCCTTAATAACGTTAGAAGTATTCATCTCATGTATTAGTTTTAAATTTATTATCCAGAGTTTTATGATACTTCAAGTTATTTTTAGTATACTGATGTCCAGTTTAGATTGTCGTTAATATAAATAATGCTGAAATTCTTTTTAGTCTCGTCTAAAAAAAGCATGCAATTTACCGATGTTGTACAATCGCACAGTTATTCATTTCTATTACTTTGTGAACTTTCAAGTAATCCTTTCGGGAAACTAAACTTGCTCTAATCGGTCAATATTTGAGTTTTCTTTTTGAGTTGTTCACTTGACATCTTTAAAGTACTTCATTATAAATTATTTATCAACGTATTTTGTAACTCAAGGTATGTGCTGTATGTTATGAAAATTTCGAAGTAGTTTGGGATCATGAAGAAGAGGAATGGATGCTACAAGATGCTATTCGAGTTGATGACAAAGTATATCATCCTATTTGCCAAGAAGATGCAGGAAAGGAATTCTCAGTTGAAGATGTAAATTTCACTTATTTTAAGTCAATTTCATTTTTTCATATTGAGCTACATAAAATTGTTTTTTGTTAATACCCTTGAGATACATTTAACTATGTATATGGAAAAGGTAATTGTTAGTTAAACTTATAATCTAATCTAGATATATTAATTGGAACATTATTTGGAGTCTTATCACGTACAACAGGTCGGTAAAGGAGCGGTCAAACAAAAAGCGACGAACTCACAGTCCTAGAGCAAATTCGTATCAATAACTGTGCAGAAGTGTAATGGCAGTAAAGTTTTTCCACAAGACCGCCAGTATCTTCATCGATTCTAAATTTTCACAGCGGGAGTAAAGGGTCAGAATAGGCCGGCCCTGAAAATAGTAAAATTCATCTTACCCCATAGGTTTCCATAGCTGACGATAAAGTTTAAACAGTACGAAGCTAACATCTCAATTTACTCACGAAAAGACCATGTGTGTGATCAACCTTAAATAGTTATCCCTTTGGGTATACGGTCATGCTTCTAGTTCAAAACCATCTCTTACCAAGTTTGCTTTTCAAATCCTTCAAAAAGTAACATTTCATAGTGTGTGCAAGAGGAAAGTGACAAGCACCCTCATACGTCTAACATCACTTGACTAGTAAAAGATTCCCCATTCATCCTTGAATTCTACATATTCGTAACTCCACGAAATATATTCTCCCCAAAATTGTACATTTAGACATTCTGAAGCTCTTAGGTCAATCAACTTTTTACTATTTGATTGTGCAGTACATATTCTGTTTATTATTGTCTACTTTACGCAATTAATATTTGGATTTATTGTAGGAAAAGAAATTTCCCTCACCTGGTCCTATTGAAAATAATCCAGAATCAACTTCTTCATTGGAAGGTGCTAAAGAAGATGCCGGTGATGAAAATGCATTTACTTGTGACGATTTTTCAACGAATACAGTTATTCCTGGTCTTTCACCATCCACTTCTCCACAACAATGTGATACAGAGATGTTAGTGTTAAAATCAGAACCTGAATGTGAATTCACTACATCAGTAAAAACGGAGTCAATTTTATCAAACCCAACAATTAGTGCAGATCCTTTGGCTGCTTTGAAAGCTGTTTTAAAAGGTGATATATCATCACTTAGCGTACAACCTCATTGATCGTAGGACCAATCCATTTCTCATGATTGCAATCATACCTTTGTACATATACTACTATACAGATTTCTATTCATATAAAATTGTGTATGAGCTTGTAAATATTTCATACAAATAAATGGCACTATTTTACAGTGTAGTATGTTATTAAAAAATGCTCATTGGTTTATGAAATATAATTCATTTATGAAATATGTATATCGTTCTTTTGTTTTGTATTATTTAATAAAGTTTTGCTACCAGATAACAGAAATAATGATATATAAGATTCACTGTAGTTCCATTGTACCACATTGATACACTTCACACAGAAATAAGGTATTAGTTAAGATAAAAAACAAGTTGCTATAATACAGAATAAGTAGATAAGATTACCTGTAATAAGCCAACAGTGAGTTCATTTTCTATACTACAACTAAATTTAAGGCATTTCATCTTGCGTAGTTCAGATCCACAATGGTTTCTGATCATTTAGTGTTTTCATTGGTCTAACTGTCATATTGCAATTGGTCTAATCAACATGTCTGTTTTAGATGTCAAACAATATTAGTGTCATTTAGCATTATAGAGACCAGTTTTTGGCGAAGAACATTTAGGAATGTCAATAATTCGTCTTATAACTGCAATAGATCCTGAGATTTTAAATCGATTGAGGTTATGTTCAGAGTATTTAACAAACGGAGCTTACCGTAAGAAATCTGATATCTACAAAGAGAAATTGGCAACGATATTGTTTTAAACTAGTTAGGAGCAACGTTAGTTGTTGATGCCAATACCTGGCGTCACGGATTTCTATATTCTTTTATTCCAAGCTAACAAGTTTGAGCTACAACCGTCTAATCTGATTTGGGCTTTTACAATTCCATTGAAATCATGCATCAATGGATTTTAGACCAGTGAAAACCAGGAAGTACTGAGTGGCCACCTAGTCCTGGTATAGGACCCATTAGGAGTACATGTCCAACACCTCACGAGTGAGATAACAACATGAGACTAAAGATCTTTGGAGCGAATGCTTAACTTCTAGACTGCTGAGTTGGTATCTAACAGTTGTAATGCTTAACTTCAACCAATCCATTATCTGTTGTCTGTGAGTAATTGTCTTGCACCTGGCATAGTTCTTCTTGCCACTCCGACATGGTGGCTCTTGTTTTTTGGGACGACTCAACCAACTAGAACCCCTGTTCTCTGAAGATCCATCATGCTTGGTTGGCAGGTTGGAGGACGGCGAAACCGAAAGGTCTTGAAAATTCCATCTTATGCTGATGTAATATGGTAACATAGGTTGATGCATATTTATTTTAGGCTCGATATCGATTGTGACTAGTCGACTTGCATTGCACTTCAAGTTTATTGTAATGTAGTCCAGTCTTATAACGGAGATTCTTCTAACCTGTATAACTAATTAACAGACCAGCAACTATGTGCTGCAACCATGCTCAAAGAACTTTATTTTTATCAAGGACCAACTTTGAACGTTGACACGGTGATTTCGAGATCGAACTGACTAGGAAACAAATGGACCATATTTAATGTCGTTGCGAAACTCGAAGATGGTTTCCTATTCTAGAGAATATGTTTCGATGCAAACCATCCTTTAGTGAGGTCATGAGTTTTTCTACATTAAGGAAATTCCTCATATTTCAGGTCAATCAAATAGTTCATCCACCATGAAAGTGGTGACTCCGCCAAGGTAGTTTGGCACAATATCAAAAACACCTGTAGAAACAGTAGTGAAATCTACCATAGCGGTTAAGAAACTGTAGATTTCTGTAGCAACTACTACATTGATGAATACTCAGGAATTCAACCCATCAAACTCCGAACATGCTGAGGAGCGAAGACAGCTTAAACATAAACTGATGATAGGTTTACGCGATGATCGTGGCTAGTGAAAGCAAAAGCAATGAACAAGGAAGTAGTGATAATGGTGGTGTTTCGTTCTCTGAGCTGGTCGAATGCTCGACTTTCTCCACGTTTGACTTGTAGCTTGGAGAAATTCGAATTCTTCATTTCGATCTGAAGTTTCTGCTGATGATGTTGTTCAGAAGAACAATGAAAGCTCCTCAACCAAAACAACAAGCTCAGAGGACGAAACACCATCACAATCATCCACCTGAGCTACAAGTTTTCTCCACCATCTCAAGCAGTGATAAATTACTTACTTACTTACTTACACCTATTACCCCCAATGGAGCATAGGCCGCCCACCAATTTTCTCCAGCCAACTCTGTCCTGGGCTTCCCTTTCTAGTTCTGTCCACTTTTTGTTCATTTTTCTCATGTCTTTATCTATTTCTCGGCGTAATGTGTTCTTTGGCCTTCCTCTATTCCTTTTACCTTGGGGGTCAATAACCACCGGTCACTATCGTTACACGGACCACGGTAGCCTACATCTGCTAATATGACTCTGTCCACTTGTCAGTGACTTTATGCATTTCTGCCATGTTTTGGTTTGGCCGCCCCTAGCTTTCACCCAGCCTACTCCTATACCACACAACATAGATCGATCAGACAATCGGTGGTTAAGCATTCGTAACACATGTCCCAACCATCTCAAATGATGAAATCTCACTGTTTCATCAGTTGATCTGCCGTTCTTACATAGTACTTGTTTCCTAACAACAGCATAGCTTACTCGGCTGTCCCAGGATGCACGAGTATAGCTACGAAGACATCTATAATTACTTACGCCTGTTACCCCCAAATGAGCATAGACCGCCCACCAGTTTTCTCCAACCAACTCTGTCCTGGGCTTCCCTTTCTAGTTCTGTCCACTTTTTGTCTTTATATATTTCTCAGCGTTATGTGTTTTTTAGCCTTCCTCTTTTCCTTTGACCCTGTGGGTTCCGAGTGAGGGCTTGTCTTGTGACGCATCTAGGCGCTTTTCGTAGTGTGTGTCCTATCCACTTCCACCGCTTCTTCATGATTTCCTTTTCCAGGGGAATCTGGTTTGTTCTCTCCCACAGTACGTTGTTGCTGATCGTGTCTGGCCAACGAATACGAAGTATTTTGCGTAGACAACTGTTAATAAACACTTGTATCTTCTGGATAATGCCTTCCGTAGTTCTCCAAGTTTCCGCTCTACACAGTAAAACTGTCTTGACATTTGTATTGAAAATCCTGATTTTGGTGTTGGTTGAAAGTTGTTTGTAGTTCCAGATATTTTTCAGTTGTAGAAATGCAGCCTTTGCTTTGCCAATCCGCACCCTCACAGCTGCATCGGATCCACCTTGATTGTCGATGATGCTGTCCAGATATGCAAAGGCGTTAACGTCCTCCAAGGCATGTTGTGTTGCATCGGAGAATCTTGCTTTTTCCTTTATGTATGTTGAGACCAGCTGCTGCTGAGGCTGCTACTACACTGGTCGTCTTCTCTTGCATTTGTCGTTGCGTGTGTGATAGAAGAGCCAGGTCATCTTCGAAGTCCAGTTCGTCCAGCTGAGTCCTAACTGTCCACTGAATACCGTGCTTTCCTCCAGACGTCGACGTCTTCATAATCCAGTCGATCATCAGGAGAAAGAGAAAGGGTGAGAGTAAGCAACCTTGCCTGACACCGGCCTTCACCTCGAAAGAGTCTGTTAGCTGTCCTCCGTGCACGATTTTGCAGTTGAATCCATCATAAGAATTCCGTATGATGTTAGCCATCTTCTCAGGCACGCTGTAGTGTCGAAGAAGCCTTCATAGTGTTGTCCTGTTCACGCTATCGAATATTTTCTCGTAGTCAATGAAGTTGATATAGCATTGTGAGTTCCACTCAATTAACTGTTCCACAATGATCCGCAATATTGTGATTTGGTCGGTACATGGTCGATCCTTATGAAATCCAGCCTGTTGATCTCGCAGTTGGGCGTCCACAAAGTCCTTCATTCTGTTTAACAATACCCTGCTGAAGACTTTGCCTGGTATTGAGAGGAGAGTGATGCCTCTGTAGTTCTCACACTTGCCGAGATCGCCTTTCTTTGGTATTTTGATCGGGTATCCTTCTTTCCAATCTGATGGTACATGTTCCTCATCCCAAATCTTCTTGAAGAGAATGTGAAATATTTTCGCAGTTGCTTCTACATCTGCTTTCATTGCCCCTGCTGCAATGTTGTCTGGTCCTGCTGCTTTGCTGCTATTGATTTGTCTGATGGCCATAGTGATCTCTTCAATTGTAAGTGCCCCAACATCAATTGGGAGGTCTGTAGATGCTGCTTCGATGTTGTGTGGGTTCAGTGGAGCTGTTCGATTCAGGAGTTCCTTAAAGTGCTCTAACCACCTATTTCGCTGTTCTTCAGTGTTGCCGACTACTTTGCCTTCCTTGCTTTTCACTTGTCGTTCTGCTTTACGATAGTTTCGGCGAGCTTCTTTGTTGTTTCGTACGATTGTCTCAAAATTCCGTCTCTTGCAGCCTTTTCCGCCGCCGTTGCTAGATCCTCCATATATTTTCGTTTGTCAGCTCTGATGCTCTTTTTCACTTTCCTGTTTGCTTCTGTGTGTGCAGCTTGTGCCTTAACTTTCTCTGCTCTTGTTCGGCTGACATTGATTGCCGCTCTCTTATTCCTCCTTTCTTCAATTTTTTCAAGAGTATCAACAGAGATCCATTTCTTGTGATGGTGCTTCTTGTGACCTAGGACCTCCTGGCACGTTGAAGTGATTGCCTTCTCGATCCCTCTCCAATTGTTCTCCAAGGTTGTTTCCTCTCCTTTGAGTAGATCCTGAAAGACCTGGAACCTATTGGTGAGGACTATCTTGAATTCGTTGAGTTTTACGGTATCCTGCAGAAAAGCTGTATTAAACTTCTGTGATGTTGTCTTCCCCGTTTTCCAGTGCTTCTTTAGTTTCAATTTCATTTTGGCGACCAGCAAGTGGTGATCTGAGGCTCTGTCAGCTCCTCTCTTGGTTCTCACATCCTCCATATTCCCTCTGAACTTTTTATTGATACAGATATGGTCGATTTGGTTCTGAGTAGTGTGGTCCCGTGAAATCCATGTAGCGTTGTGAATGCAATTGTGTGGGAATATTGTGCCACCGATGACCAGTTTGTTGAAGGCACATAGGTTTGCAAATCTCTAACCGTTTTCGCTCCTTTCTCCCAGTCTATGTCATCCCATGATGTCTTCATATCCAGTGTTGTCTATGCCAACCTTGTCATTTAGGTCTCCCATCAGAATGGTCAAATCCTTTGATGAGCATCCCTCAACGATTGACTGCAGCCTTTCGTAGAATCGATCTTTAACGTCGTCATTGTAGTCATTGGTAGGTGCATA